CTCTTCCTTCCATACAAGGCCATTCCCTTTCCTCCTAAGCTGCTATCAGTTTTTCCTCTAAGATCACTTTCCATCTGCTCTGTGTGTTTTGTATGTACCTATTTATTTGCATACTGTTGCTCTATTAGAACAGAAGCATACTGAAGACAAAATTCATTTTTGCCTTTCTTTAAATCTGCAGTGCTTAGCACAGTACCTGGCATACAGTAAGGGCTTAATAGATGCTTGTTGGTGATTGAGTTTGGCCCCAGGAATAATCAACCAATCGGTTCATAGGCATTTAATTAGAGCTTATTATGTGGTAAGCATAATGCTATGTTTACTGTGTGCCACAAGCTATGCTGTGCTTTGAGAATACAAAGAAAAAATACCCCACATTTTGAAAATTTTAATTTTTCCCCCAATTAACAAATATTTATTTTCTTTCCCTTTTTTTCCACTTTACTCTCATAACAAAAGAAAGAAAAACAAAACCCTGGTAACAAATATGCACAGTCAAGCAAAATAAATTCCCATACTGGCCATATCCATATAAATTTTATGTCTCAAACTATATCCTGAGTCTATCTGTCTCTGTCAGAAAATGGGTAGCATGTTTCTTCATGAGTTCTCTGGAATTATGGTTGGTAACAGTTGATACGAGTTTTTAAGCCTTCTAAAGTTTGTCTTTACTATTCTGTTAATACTATACAAATTGTTCTAGTTCTGATAACTTCAGTTATCAGTTTATTAAAGTCTTCCCATTTTTTCTGAAACTCTTCTTTATCATTTCTTACAGCACAAGAGTATTCTATTACATTTATACACTATAATTTGCTCAGCCACTCCCCAATTAATGGGCATCCTTTCAGTTTCAAGTTCTTTGCCAGTATTAAAAAGAGCTGCTATATTAGTATTTTTGTACCTATGGGTCCATTTTTCTCTTCCTGCGATCTTTTTTGGGGTATGGACTTATTAATGGTATCACTGGGTCAAAGGATAATCACAATTTAGTAACTTTGAGGGGAACAGATGCATAGTGCTTTCCTGAATGGCTTGACCAGTTCATAGCAAGGAGCTCAAATTCCAATGGAGGAGACAACAGATATAAATTACAATGTACAAAATAAGTACAGCATAGACCTTAGAAAAGATGGTACTAGCAGCTGAGAAGTCCAAAAAAGGATCCTAGAGAAGATGGCACTTGAACTGAGTCTTAAAGGAAGCCACAGGGGTCTTAGAGTTAGAGACTGGAAGGAGAACATTCCAGACATGAAGAACAGCCTGTGTAAATTTGTGGAGAGGAGAGATGGAGTGTCCTTATACGAGGAACAGCAAAGAGCCAACATGGATAGATCATAGAGTATATCATAGAGATCACAGGAGCAGAAACTAAGAAGGCTAGCAAAGTAGAAAGATGCCAGGTTGTGAAGAAATTTAAATGCTAAACATGGAGTTTTGATCCTAGGATAACAGGGAGCTACTGGGAGTTTATGTAGAGTAGTGTCAGACCTGAGCTTTAGAATACGACATTGGAAGCTGATCAGATGGTGGACTAAAGTGGGAAGAGACTTAGGGTAGCGAGACCAATTCGTAGGCTTTTACCATAATGTAAGTAAGAGGTGATGAAAGTCTGACTTGGGGTGATGGTTCAATGAGTGAAGGGAAGGGGACACAAATAAGAGATAGGAAGTCAAAGACAACCGGCATTTAGTAAGTGCCTGCGTGTGAAGTGCTGGAGATACAAAGAAAGGTCAAGAAGACCTGCTCTCAAGGAGTTCACAGTCTAAATGAAGGGTGGAAATGGCAAGATTTGGTAAAAGATTGGAAATGTGGGATGAGAGTGAGTAATTGAGGATGACACTGAGGTTGTAAGCCTATATGAAGAGTTATGGGAATACTCTGCATTGGGATAATTGAACCCCATAGATTCAACTGATAAGCTGATAAGATCACCAGGTGAGAATGTAGAAAGAAAAAAGAAGGACCAGGACAGAGCCTTGGAGGACATCCATACTTAATGGACATGAACCAAAACAAACTTTGACTTCTCTCAGATAACTAAATTGGGTAACTTTAAGAGGTATTTCAAACTCAAAAATTTTTGCACTGGTTTTTTTAAAAAAACTCACCTGGTGACGAATCTCTCCACATTTTCCTAGATTGGTCCTCCAAAGCAAAGGAGTAGCCTAGATTTTAAGCTGGATAGGACCTTAATTTAGTAAAGTGCACAAGGTCACATAGATAGGTAGCAGAGCTGGGAGGTGAACTCAAGTAACCCAAATCCTCTGACTCCAAATCTAATACTCTTTCCACTATGCCACACACTCATGCATAGTCCAATGCCAGGTTCATGTTCAAAGCCTTTCCAAGTGGTTTTTTGTTTTTAGTTTCATTGATGTATTTTGTTTTAATATTATAGACATTTACAGTTTGGTAAGACTTGGCCTGGCTTATGCTTAATTGACATGGACTTTGACAATTTAGGGTCACCTCCATGTTATAGTGAGGTAGCTATCAAAGAGAATGACTTTAGTAGAACCAAAGTTCTTGGTCTTGTAAATAACAAAATACCACTCCCATCCCGCAATTTATTTCCTTTACTTTAAATAATAAGGTTTATCAACTTAATATAATGCCTTATGATTGTTTATTTTGATAATTTTATCATGAGAGGGCTTTTGCCCTCTTTTTTCACTCCGAGAGTAGCTAAAATCTTCCTCATTTTTTGTTTTTCTATAACTGCCTGATATCAACCTCTTCTGTCACATTCCTTGCGTGTATTCCTTGCTAAGAAACATGAATTTCCAAACTGAGATGCAAAGACATTACAGCAGCACAACACTTATCTAGCATTTTAGGGGCTGGGGAATTCTGTACAAGTACATTTTTAAGATGACTGAAATGTAGTCAATCACAAAAACATAAAGATTTTTAGTGTTGAATAGGACTTCAGTTGCCATCTAATCTAACTCATGAACCAAAAAAAGAGCCCCCAAACCCTCTTCATTCCTTCCCAATAAAAGGTTATCCAGTCTCATCCTGAAGACTGTTAGAGACTAGGAGGTGGCCTTTTCCACTAAATAAGCTACTTCTCATCTTCAGTGGTCTGGAAATTCACTTACAGAGATTGACAAGAGTTGTAAGCTACTTTTGAATAAAGGTCTCAATGACAATTATAAGAGTAAGGTGCACAAGAGTGGACTTTGTGCCCTCAGCTTAAGTTAATCAGAAACATTTAATGCTTAGTTTCCAGTTTTTGGCTATGTTTTAGATAGCTGAGGTTGCCAGAGAATGACCTTTGAAATTAAACAGTTTGCCTGCAGAGACAGTAACAAGATTTAGTGAGAATAATCATTCTAAACTCTAATTGCTCCATATGGTGCTGCAAAAATATAATCTAACTTTCTTTTCAGTTAATAATCATCTCTTTTATTGTGGTCTATATTAGATTTCTAAAAAGTGCTGTGCATATTGATTTATTCACTAAAGCCTCAAAACAGGCTTGAGAGGTAGACAGAGTAGGGATGATTGTCTCAATTTGACAGGAAAGGAAACTGAGTGTCCAAGAGATTAAATAACAGGTCCAAGATGACCTAGAAAATAATGGTAGACAACGACAATAGTAATATAACAGTTGATATTTACATGGTGCTTTAAGATTGGCAAAGCACTTTATACACATTGATCTCATTAAAGCCTCAGAGCAGCGTGGGAAAGGGAAGTGACGGGGGGGAATCGGTATAGGTATTACAGATACTATAATTCCCATTTTGAAGATGAAAACACTGAGAATTTGAAAATTCAAAACCTCACATCACATGAGCTCCAGGCTAGTTGAGACCTCTTCCTTCACCACTGTATAATACTGACTTTTTCTTGAAGGCAGAAGTAAACAAAAGAATTCATATCAGAGTGTGTATACATTGTACACATACATTCATACAGTTTTCCCTCTCTCTCTCAACATATTTTTGCTTTCATTCATGTAGTGTTTTGCAATTACAAAGGGATACACACACATAAATACATATATATACATATGTGTGTTCTCATTTAAAGTATTGCTAGACTATGGTCTTTTTGTTAAGGCATAGCTCTAAAAAAAAAGCAACTCTGATTATAATCAATGTAATCAGAAGTCAATAGAGTAAATATTATCAGAAGTTAATAAAGTAAATTAATTTGTTTTTATCAAATATCAAATCTAAATCCCACAGAAGTAACCATATTTCATACAATATATGTACATAAGCATATATGTGTATCTGTGTACTTGTACATATACAGACATACAGATACACATACATACCTATCTATACACTTATATACACCTGGATCAATACAGGGTGTCCCAAAAGTCTTAATGCAGTTTTCAGCCTAAAACTTAAAACACCCTCTCTCCCCTCCCCTCCACCCCCCCCCACTCTCTCTTTTTCTCTCTCTCTCTCTGTCTCCCTCTCTCAGAAATGGACCTGTGATTTCACTGGGTCTAGGCAACTGTATCACTATGAGGACATTTCTACTACCAGTGGAGATTAGTCTTAGAAAGTTGCCTAGGGCATAGGAAGTTTCAGGTGACTGAATAAGTTTTTTTTTTTTAAACATGTATAAATTTAAAAATTTTTTTAAATCTATTTTATAATCTACAAAAACTGGACCTGTGATTTCATTATTGTAGGGAGAGAAACTGGTAAGAAACTTTCTCTACCAAGATACCTGCTCTGAAACACATAATTTTGGAGAGCTGTCTAAGGCACTGGGAGGTAAGATGACTTGGTCTCTGTCACATATCCAGTTTGGGGGATGGGCCAGGTCTTCCTTACTCTGAATCCTGCTCTCTACCCATAATCACACACTACTTCTCACTGTAAAAACTGTGTGTATATATGCATGTGTATAGAAAGAAATGCTCATTTCCCTTCCCATTCCTTTTCCCAAAAATAACAAACCAATCAGTATTTTAAAAAATCACAAGAAATAATCATTGGCACCAGACAAAACGTACAAAAATTACTCACCTGCTTGCTGGCTGGTTGATTCTGAGGTAAAGAGCTTGTTGTGAGAACAGGAGAATTAGTGGGGCTGCAAAGCTCAGGAAATGGATTTGGTATGGCGGGCAGAGACGAGGTTCTAAATTGTTGGTCTTCTTCCTGAAGGCGTCTGGAGCAAAAGCAAAACTGTACATTAACAACTGAACCGAGAAGTCCCTGAGAAGTAAGGATCACCCCTCTGGGAATACTGAGATAGCACAGTCATACATGCTTATCATTAGTTGTCCATTCTACCCCCACCCCATTCTCCTCCTGTTCCAAACCTTCTGATCTCTCCTCAGTCCCTTCATAACATTCCTTCCCTTTCCATCTCTGTTGAGAAACTTGCCTCATACATTTATTGAGGTAACCCCAACTTAAATAACAGCCCTTTTCATAAAAATTTTGTATGTTGCTGCTACACCTTTATGAATAGAATCTTGGGAACTGATTGTTAACTGCTCTGGGAATGTGTGTCTCTGTGAAATACTCAGAGAACTTCTTTCCCAAGTAGACTTAATAGCTAATAAACATAAAAATAGTCTAAGAAAAGACTGTACAGTTAAATGTCACGGGGAAAGTCTGTGAGGCACTACAATTAACTATCATAACAAAATGAATCTGAGAGGGACTTAGCTGCCATTTTTGAGAGTGTTTTTGATGGACATTTTGAGAGAACTGAGTTATACTCTTATTCTGTGGAAAAGACATACTGAGGAGAATTAAGGTTGAAATTTAAGAATACCTCAAAGGACCTAGCTGCAACAATTGAAGCAATACACATTTTTTTTAGCAAAGAAAAAAGGATAAAATTATGATTTCAAAATTAAATTAGAATAATTTTTAAAATAATTAATATATGTGATTCTTCCAGTATTAAAGACTCAAACTACCATCCTGAGAAAACTCAACACTGGGCTGTGGGGTTCAGGTGTTTTGGAGTAGTCAAAAGTTATGGCCATTGACAGAGAGGTGACTGGCTGCAACCTTTCTCCATCCAATATGCTGATGAAGGATTTACATGTTTATTTCCACTATTTGTTACTTTTTATTAATTACATAGATGGTAAAGTTATTTGTCTAAGACAAGTGTTTTAACCTACAATCCATGAACTAGTTCTTTTTTTTTTTAATTAAAAAAAATCTTAGAAACTCTTTTGGGACTTGGGGATTGGGGTGGGGGTGGGGATGGGGGTAGGGTGGGGAGTAGGGGAAGACTCTCTTCATCTTGCCCAGGCTGGGAGTGCAGCAGCTATCCACAGGTCCAATCCCAATGCAGACTGACACGGAAGCTTTGACCTGCCCACTTTTTCTGATATGGGCCACTCTGCCCCTCTTAGGGAGCCCAGTGGCCCTTGTTTCCAGCGGCTCATCACATCAGTGCCAGACTTAGTTTGGGCACTTGGCTTTGGTATTACTATAGCTCTGAGCTCTCAAGCTCAAGTGATCCACCAGCCTCATTCTCCCTCAATAGCAAGGATGATAGGTGTGTGTCACCTTGCCTGACTCAACAATTATATCTCAATAAATTGGCTTCCTAATGCTATGCACTTTATTTTGAAAATTTAAAAACATATTCTGATAAGGGATCTATAGACTTCAACAGACTGCTCTCTTAGAGAGAGAGAAAGAGAGAGAGAGAGAAATAGAGAGAAGGGGAAATATGTTTTCTCTTATTTGGGGAAGAAGGGAACCATTTACTGTTATCAAATTGAACCACTCAGCATTCATCAGTTTTTTTGTGTACCCTTCCAACTTTGTGCATTCATGTGTACACAACTTTCCCCAGGACTGGAATAGATTGCCCTACCTCCCTTGGCTTTCAAAAATTCTAATTTAATTAGACATCTCCCATATCTGTTCATTTTTGGAATCTGTTGTCTCCCATATCTACAATGAACTCCTTTCTCTGCCTTTTGAAATCTATCCTTTGACCAGCCAATCCTCTATGAAATTTTTCCCCAATCAGCCCCATCTGACAGCAATCACTCCCTCAAGTTCTCACAGTACAACTAGTGAATCTCTCCTTTGCCCCCAATACATTCTTCTACCTTGTATCACACTGCCTGTGTCTCTGCCCTACCTCTTCTCTCTTATAGAATAAGCTCCTTGAGGACAGGCATTCTTTTTTCATCGATGTATAGCTCCCCAACATTTAGCAAAGTACATAACACACCACAGGCATCTGATATCTACTTTATGAATTATCTTTAAAATGTGATTTTTTCCAATGGATTACAAAACCAAATATAAAGTCTCCAATCTGGGAAACCACTCTTTGGAAAGTTACTGATGATGACTTTCTTAAGGAATCTTTAAAGCCACTTCTAAATTCTCAATATCCTCTATCCTTTCTGAGGCAACAGCCTCTATTGCCCACACTCTGTTTTGGTCCTTTGGCTTCCTGAACACTGTTCTGTATTATCTACTAACTGTTTCATATGCCATCTCCCTTTACACCAAGTATCCAGTTAGTACTTGTTCAGAACTAGGGCAATGGGAAGAGGTTGGATGATACATGTATGAGAACAGCAGAAGCACAGTAAATGCTGTTGACTGACTGAATAAACACTGAAATCTCCCTGGAAGAGTCAAGGTAAAGGGATTCATCTTGTACCCTCAGTGGTGTAGTTATGAAAGAAGCAAAAGGATGTTGACTGTATCTGTGGGACAATTAAGCAGTCACAAAGTATGTTAGAAGGAGTGTCCAGTAAGCTTGCTGATTGATACTCATTCAGTAAAGGGAATTTTCTTTTGAATTTATGACTTTAGATAATCTTAAGGTTGAGAGATATCTTGAGAGGACAATGCACCTAAGAGTCAGAAAGACCTATGTGTAAATCCTGCCACAGACACCTATTAGCTGTGTAAGTCTGTGTAAGTCATTTCACTGCTCCATGTCTGTTATCTCCTTTATAAAATGAGGAAAGTGAGCTCAGTGATTCCTGAGGTCCCTTCCAGCTCTAAATCTATGATACTATCGTCCTCAAAAGTTGGAAGAGGCATTAGCAGGCATCTAACTCAACCTAAGGGCAGCTAGGTGGTGCCAGAGGGTTGGTCTGGAGTCAGGAAGACCTGAGTTCAAATGTGGCCTCGGTCACTTAATAGCTGTATGACCCTGGGCAAGTCACTTAACCCTGTTTGTGTCAGTTTCCTCATCTATAAAATGAGCTGACAAAGGAAATGGCAAACCACTCCAGTATCTCTGCCAAATGGGGTCATGAAGAGCTGTACACAACTGAAAACTCAACAACAGCAAACTCAATCTCTCCTGGTAAGCAAGGCAGTGTTCTATTCCACAGCATCTCCGACAGACAATCGCCTAGACTCCCTGATTATCTCTAAGTATGGGAATCTTACAACTTCACAAATGCAGTCCACACCACTGTAGACAACTCTAGCAAGAAAATCCTTCCTAATAATGAAACAAAATTTGCATTCTAAAACTTCAGAGCTCAGTTCAAACATCACTTCCTACAAGGAGCCTTTCTCCCCTGGAGTCAGGAAGACTGGAGTTCAAATCTATCCTCAGGCACTTCCTAGCTGTGTTACCCTGGGCAAGTCACTTAACTTCTGTTAGCCTCAGCTTCTTCAACTATGGAAATGGAATAATAATTGTACCTACTACCCAAGGTCGTTGTGAAGATAAAATAATATTTGTAATGCAATTAACAAACTTTAAAAGTAGCAGCTATTATTATTTGTAATTTCCCAAATTCATCTTTTCTCCTCTTTTTCCCTGTTACCTATTTTCATTCCTATGGCTCCCTCTGCCATGTTTCATGTCTTAAAGATCATTGAAAATGATTCTGGAATCATACCAGCAAGTTAAACCAGTAACCTAGGGTGTAATTGAGTCAGGCCCAGAGACTTGGACTCATGTAAAGTGGCTGAGAACCCTCTCACTATCTCTTTACATATCTTGACTACAACCCCTTCTTGATGCTATTGTAACCTTTTTCAAACCGGAGCTATTTTCCTTATTAGAGGCGATGGAAGAAATTACAGGAGTTCAGTAGATCTGCAATTTCTCTGTCATCTTTTAAAAAAAAAAGATCTTGACTACTTTCATTTGTACATCAGCTAGATTCCCCCCCATTCCTTTTCTTCCCCCTTCTCAGTCTTCTCATATCTCTTCATTAGGATCACACACCTGTGCTTTTCATGTATCTTTCCATGCTCCTCATGTATTCATCATGCTCACTGCTTTTTTTTTTTATCAAATTCTTATTGGTATCTTTTATTGCCTAAATTTTCCCCAGTATCTCTCCCCCTCCCACTAAGTCATCCCATATAAAAAAGAATATTTTTAAAAGAAAAAAAGGGAGGGGAATCAGCAAAACCAACAATATGCTGAAAAAGTCTAAAAACATATGCATGGTCCCACAATTGTGAACCTCTCACCTCTGCAAAAGAGTACAGGTGTTTTCTCATGTCTTCTCTTTAGGATCATGCTTGTGTCTTATAATTTTATAACAATCTCGACTATTTTGTGATTTTGTTCTGTCCGTTTACATTGGGGTAGTCATTGTGTATATTATTTTCTTTGCTCTGCTTACCTTTGCTTTGCATAGTCAGCTCATGTATCTCTCCATGCTTCACTGTTCATTCACAGCATGCTCATTGTTAATAACACAGTAATATCTCATTATATTTATGTACCACAATTTGTTTAGCCATTCCCCAATGCATGGGCATCAATTTTGTTTTTAATTCTTTGCTACCTATGAAAAAGTGCTGCTAGAAGTATCCTGGGGTGTATGAAGGTTCTATTTTTATCAGTGACCTCACTGGTCACTGATACACCTAGTGGTGTAATCTCTCAGGCACAAAGTACAGACATTCTAGCTACTTGCTTTGCATAATTCCAAACTGCTTTCTAGAATGGTTGTACCAATGCCGTGTAATCTTTTAACACTACGCCATCTTCTCAAAGAAGTAAATCCATCTCTTCTTTTCTTCATGCTACAAATAGTGTTTTAAAAGTCCTTCTTATCTTTATCATTTGATGTACCTTCTATCAAATTATTATACAAATTAGATGAACTAAAATGTGTTTCCTTCCCTTTTTAAGAGATGCATTTCATGACCTAAATATATTTCAATTTCGTCATTTTAGATTATTCTGTT